TATAAACTCACCCTTTACCTAGTTTCATCACTTTTTACTCCGACAAAGGAAATGTCAGTAAGTTACTTCACCTACTTTTTACTGTGTTTAATTTATCTTTTTACACAACTGTTTCTTTAGAAACATCGATGCAGCTCACACAGTTACTGCTAGTTCCCACCATTCCAACAAAATTGGGCTTTTTTATGGAAACATTTTATAATTTGAATAGTGGAATCCTGAAAAAGTTTGACTACTGTATCATTTTTAGAAATATTCCTTGGTATAGGAATTCTGGCAGTTTGGCGTAACAAATCTGAATGAATGGCTTTTTTCTACATATTGTAAAGAGAAACTACTGCTGATGTGCAGTGATCATTAATTTTGCCTGCCCATTATTGCGCTTAGCTCTTTTGTGTCCCAACGAAATACCCATACACTTTTTTAACCTGTGCTATGTCTGCGACAAAATGATTCTAGTTTTGATCTTCATACAAACTGTTGAATTTATATTTCAGCATCTTTTAACTTTCTTTTGTCTAAAAATGCAATAACTTTGAGTTTCCAATCAATTTTATTCAAACAGAACACATAGAAAATACAGCTCTGTGCCTTCTGTTCTGAATATAACTAAGTGGATTTTGATTTACCCCTTTCGACAATGATCAAATTAAACCAATAAGATATGTTTTCTGTAGAACACTTGTTTGTGTTCATGTTTGGATAGCCCGCTTAATGTGATCACCCTTTATATAATACAGACGGTTTTGAAGGTCCGTTTAGTGGACAAATTACTGGGATTCCACTGTATTCTTCTGAGTGTTTTGTTAAAGGGCTACTTGGAATCAAATACCGTATTTACCCATGTATAAGCCGCTCTCGTAGATAAGCCGCACCCCGAGTTTTAGGAACTTTTTTGAGGAAAAGAAAAGACGGAAAAAAACTTTTCTCTTTTTGRTCGCCACTTGCGAACACAGCTTTCTTTCATTTTAAAGTGCTTTTCYRCTGCTCGATTTCCGWGATCCATGCATTTCRTATGCAATTACAATCTGTTTATTTAASGTGCGGTGTATGATGATCTTGGAGACATAATTGTTAAGATTGATAATTGATACTACTATATTTAAAGAGATGTCTTTAAATCAAAAGGTAACTTGAGTGATATAAATCTCATTGTGCCGCCAAACTTCTAAACATAAGGATATGCCGAAACCRTTTCGTATTTCAAAAAAATATTAAAGCAGATTGTATTTGTTTAATATAAGGAACAATTTCTTAGGCTTATTTCTCGGGTATTCAAAATATTTACCCTGGATTCTTCACTTTAAGTTTGACAAAGTCGCTTAAATGAACAATGCAAATTAGCATCGCGTTACCAAAACAACTCCAAGACAAAACGATTGAAAATGCTCTCTGTTCGTTTTAGGTAAATAACCACGCACTTTTCAGTTTGATTTATTGACATGTGTTTCTCAGAGCTAGACTTTCGGAGAATTTATAGTAATACTGAGAAGTTTGGATAAAAATTTCTGTTCCCGCCGTGTAAAACAAACTTATCACATTACTGTTGTCTTGTCTGCAGTTATAAGTAGCACCGTGAATGCTAATTTATGCAAATTAGTTTTTATCRGGCATTTTTACAAGTCTTCTCKTAGATAAGACGCACCCCCGATTTGGGAACGATTTTTTTGGAAAAAAAGTGTGGCTTATACATGGGTAAATACGGTAGAACTATCCAATGGGTCTAATAATCATGAATCAACAGATTTCAAGAAGATATTGATACAAATCCTTAATAATTTGGGCAAAAAATGTTGGGAGTAGATGACGTCATTTACTCAATCCTTTTGTTCTTCCATCTTTTTAAACAATATTTCTCTGATGTGGGACAATTCCAAAACAAATATTTTCCCACAAATGTTAATAATAGATATTTGTGAGTCATATATTTGTATTGCTTGAAGTTTTGAAATAAGACCATTTTCATGCAAGTAGCACTTTAAAAAATCTGAATGGTAAAGCTGTATGAACCATGAACATGACTTAAGTTTATTCAATCTCAATACTCACTGATTTTGTGTTTTCTCTCTCACTCTTGCCATCTTGTCACAGGGTTGATAGTCTTGGTTGATTGAGACTTGCACATGCTCATTTACAAATACTTTAAGCTAGTATTGTGTACATAATTTAACATCCTATTCCAGTGCAGCAATGTTTTTGATTCCTTAATATGTGCAGTATGAGATGCTTTAAAATTTAATATGTCTTATCATGGTCTTGTCTCTGTTTTTAGCATCCATTCATTGTAGACCTAATTTATGCATTCCAAACAGGAGGAAAACTGTATTTGATTTTAGAATACTTAAGTGGTAAGTCATTTGTTTCTCAATGATGATGATCCATTTTCTCCATGCTTTTAATAACAGCATTACAATTTGACTGATCTTTCCAAAAGTTGTTGCAAATACTGTGTTGGAAGGCAGTACAATGTGATAATTATATCACAGAAAAACAGCAAAAACTATTGCATTTAAGACCTTGAA